CAGCGGCAGCAGCCTCAGCAGAGAAGCCCAGACCTCCCTCTGCCCGGCCAAATCCTCCAGCCTTTCTGGGGGAATGCTCCGGAAATGCACCAGAAATGCCCCAGCAATGTCCATTTGTGGACATGGCTATGTCCTGATGCAGTAATAAAATACTTTTCTATGTCTCACCCACTAACACACGTGCAAACACAAGGACAAGCACACCACTACACCCTCCCGACACCACTGTGGCCACATCAGGGGGAAAACAAACACAGCGGGAGCAGCCGCGCCCTGCAGCAGTATGCTCCCAGGAGCAGCATCGCTCAACTAAAGGGCTGATTAGCATGTGAAATGTTTATCACACCACAAACAAATAAAAAGGAGCGACCTGCCCGCATTTACACAAACACTGAAAGTTACTTTAAACCATTATTCACCATTTACATATCCTCAGAATAACACGTTAGCAGAGGCCACGACTGAGGAGACACTTCCTGTGTGTGTGTAACAACACTGTTATTACATTACATGTTATGTTATTACACCTGTACACACTGGCATATTAACACCACAAGCATGTTAGCAAGCTGACCTTCATTATCTTTTTTCTTCCTGAGACACGACTCAGCTCACAAGAGAGAACAGGTCAGTTGTAGTTGTTGCCTTGAAACGTAGATAACAGGAAGAGGAGGATGGTCAAGTTTTTAGATTACAATGGTAAACATGAGGCTTCAGTGAGATCAGTAATGGGTCAAAATGCTTTGTGGGTCCATATATCACCTGACCCAGTTCAGCTGCATGCTTGTGTTATGTTTCCACCTTTAATATTTCCTACAAAGTGTCTTTATGAGGGAATCTGCAGCCAAATTTCAGCCTGGATCACACAACACACACCTGGGGCTGAGGGCGAGCCTGTGATGTGCTTCCTGTTTTTCTGTATTTGGTGGTTATTTGCAATATGTGACGACTCGCTGAAACGCTGTTTGAATGTGACGCCTAAATATGATGAGAAATGTGCTCATTCGCGCCCAGCAGCATTACAGTGTGAACCCTGATATCACCAGGTGCAGTGCTGTCAGTGTGTGATTGGCTGGAACACCTTAAAGAAGAACGAGATCCATTTAGCATCAAAAACGAGCTGCGACCATAAAAACACGGAGAGCTTTTCCTGACCAAGGACCCACATTCCTCATCCTTCCCCTGAAACTGCCAGTGTCACGGTCTGGGTGGAGTCTGGTGGTGTCGCACAGATGTGGCTTTTATGTGCAGCCCACAAACTTTCAATATCGTGTGGAGATCGTTGTGTATTTGGGATAATTGTCCTGTTAGACCTGTGGATCTGAAGAGAAGTCGAAAAATTGTGATAACAAAGAGTCTGAGATGCATTTACACAAACACACACAGGAAACTGTGAGGGGGAATGGGCCCCTTTGTTCCTCTGATACTCTCTGATGCTGGTCTGACTCACGTCTTCCACCAACAGGGTCTCTTTTAGCCCCGCCCTCCTCTCCTGCTCTCACCCTTAAACATCCTTAAACACTACTGATCTTCTGTTAATGGGTCTGCTGGGAGAACTGGATTTCTGTCCTGTTTGGGGTTCAGTAGGTGAACTGTTTCACAGCCGCAGACCAACAAATAATAATCACAGACAGGTTTAGATTGCATAAAATTTATTGCTGGATTGAAGAAGACAACATTTCTCCACCTGTGTACCTTCAGACAGGTGTGCACACTCCATATGAAAGTTGATGAGTTTAAAGCTCAGATCAGGGCACATTTCACAAACTCTGCACAAACTCACAGCATTCAGTGAGAAATGTTCTTTCAATCAGTCCAATAATATCACATAAGTTCATTTGCTAGTGTCATGGTCAGTAGCATATCAGCACCGTCAGTCAAACGTGGGAATGATTTGAACTGCGGAGTACAAACACATTTCTCCTTATTGGCTCCTTCATCTGGCCTCAGCAGGACTTTGGTGAGATGTGAGGGAGGCTGAGGTGATCTTTGGCCCAGAGGTTTGCAGACATCAGAGGTCACTGTGGGAACAAAAAGAAAATTGATTTCACAGAGAGATCTGTGCCACGCTCAGTCAGCTGTAACTGTAGGTTTGCTCCTTTTGCCTTTTTACACCACTGCACTGGGTTTAAAAAGAAGCCGTTAAAAAGTGCCGACTCGGCTTTGATTCGAATGTGAAGAACTGTGTCTGCACAGCAGCCCGGTGTCAGATTATTCTGGTTATCTGGATCATTTTTAACTGTGAGTCTTCAAAGTTTGCTCAAAGCTCCCTAATGAGAAACACTTCATATGTAACCGTCTTATAGACGTGCAGCTTCCTTTCATTCATTTCTGATGAAGTCGTTTCTTCCGTTTTCAGCTGCTTAAACCAGACTAAATATCCCTCTGAGCTTCATTATATGTGTCACAGCTCCAGCAGGTGACTTCCTCCTACTGACCTTCAGCTGCCGACCAGCACACAGCAGACAGCGGCAGCTACGACGAGCCCCCAGAGGCTCCCGGGGCCAGCAGCAGAGTTAAAGGGAGCTCCAGCCTCTGAAACAACAGAGCAGGAGGCAAAGTTAGCAGCTGGCACATCGAGTGGCGCACAAAGAGCCGTATGTGGCGTAACACAGCGGATTCTAACACTCACCCACAACAGTCACATTATAATTAAAAGTGTGCATCTCATCTTTGTACATCTCCCCTCTGTAAACGGCGCTCTTCCTGATGTTGGAAATAGTAAGGCAGCCAGACGACTGGTTAAGCTGGAGACGTCCAGCATATTCGTCTGGGACGCTGGTGATTTCTCCCCCATCACAGAGGAGGAGTGTCTGGTCAGAACCATAAATCCAGACGATATCGTCACCATTGAGCCCAGTGAGTCCGGTCTGTAGAGTGACCGAGTCTCCAGGCCTCACCATCAGATTCTGGATATTCTGACTCATTACGTCTCTCAGAAGAGTGAGAGCTGAAAGGAAAGAGAGGAAGGAGAAGATGAGGGGAGGTCACAGGATTATTATCTGCATATTAAAGCGGTTTTCCACTGCTGTGCTGCGGTGCACTAGTGTGGTGTGAGAGCTCATCAGGTGTGCTGTAGGACATTATTTAATTTCACTTCACTGGTCCAAAAAGTATAATTTATCATTACTGCAGATAAGCTGAGCATCTGTGCTTTCAACGCAGTGACCGGTAGAGTACCTGTCAGTGAGTGACAGTGGGTGGAGCCTGTGTGCGACAGGTGGAGATGTACAGCAGTTTTGGGGGGAGGGGGAGTACAGAGTCTGAACTGGAAAAAATAATAATCGATGAGCTCACTGCTGGTGAGGGTAACAAACAAAAGGCAAAAACGGTGGGCTCGAGTCAATGCAGCAAACGTTATCTTTCGCTTGGATTCACTTCCACTGGAGACCCGACTGCACTGACCCCGGTATGTTCAGTGTTTGTGAAAAGCTCTCCAACAGCGCAAGAGTCCCAACCAAGCTGAAACATCCGTCACGCGTGAACACGCTGACAAACGGATAATGAGAAGAAACACGGGGTTTGGAGCAACTTCGAACAGACGCTGGTTTAAAGCTGAGCTTTGTTCATGAACCTCTGGACAGTTTGGGATTTAATGACATTTTAAACTTTAATGTGTTTGCCAAAACATCCGCTGAGCTCAAGCTTCTGCTTTACAGCCAGCGCAAGCCGCACACGTGACTGAAAGGCGAATTCAAGTGAAGGTGCGGCAGGTACCTTACCCTTAACGGGCTCTGAACCTGCTGTCGGTGGCTAAGAGCCTGCTGAGCTCCTACATCTAACATTTCCCCTTTCTGCAGTACCAGCTCAGCGAGGCTGTGGTTTAATACAAAAAGGCTTTCTTTGCCAACCAGTTTCCCGGTACGCACGGTACCTCCTGGGGATTTCGAGATAAGGACCGTGACAAGCGGACCTCGGAGTCCCGGTGCAAAAGTTCCTCTTTAGTCAAACCAAAGGCACAACAATAACGCAGTAAAAGCTGAATAAACTACTCACATGCGAGAGTTGCGATCCATAAAGGTATTCCTCTGCCACCCATAATGTATCAGCACGTCTGCGCACCGTGACTGCCGCTCAGAGTGAAGACGGAGCTCTACCACGGCCACAGGAGGAGGGAGGGAATGCTAGGACGCGCTGTCACTTATGACACCACGCCTCGTCTCTCTCTCGTCACGTTTCTTTCATGCACTTGTTACCAAGCACGCAGGAACGAGAGGAACGTGAAAGAGAGAGACACGACGGGTGGCGTTCATGTTGGTGAGAGTAAGAGCATGAGTGTTGATTGAGGCTCAAGATGACTCGATATCATACTCGAGGGATACATTTGACATGTTTCAAATATTTTAGGCCAAAAAGTTATTTATAGCAAATCCTGGAAATCAGGTGAGCATCGCTATGAGCAATGAAATGATGTCTATATGGATGGCAGCCCAAAAATACCCACGATAAGATGTTCACTGGTTCTGCAAATGAACAAAAGAGGGGATTCGGCTACTCTGTTCAATAAATGAAGCTCTAACTCTGTTTTCTCAGAAGTATCTTCCGCTACTGCATTTATGAAGAAAGACCGGACTGCACTTAACCTCATCCCTGTTCACAGGGTGCCCCCTGGTGGCAGCAAACTTGTAGTTTGTGTTGTGTTGGGCTCTTGAATAAAAAACTCCTGCTCAAGCGATAACTTGGAGCAATAAAAACTTTAACACCACATCCCCCTTACTGAAGTTAGGTTGGTACATTCTTTTGCTCTTCAAAGAAAAAACGTAGCTGCATAATATTTTTCCCCAGTACAGACCCCGGCTTGTCAGGAAACATAAACTTTGGTATTTTCATAAACAACTTCTTTTACACTCTTAAAACAAGTTGAACATTCTTGTCCTTTTAACCTCCTAAGACTCTACCACAGCAGCATTTTTAATTTCTCTTTGATATTTGGGCTGATTGGGTCCTGATGAATGTAAAAACAAAGAATTACCAGATTTTTTTTTTTACCTGATTTTTTTTTCTAAGAAAAATGAGAGACACATATGAGGATATTTGTTTAAACATTTGATAGAACAGTGTCAGTATAACGTCCTTGTAAGTGGATATCAGGCCCTTGTAGAGCAAAATTGAGTATTTTGGTCTAAATAAGCCAAAATGTGATGTCCACATATATGGACGCCAGGTCCTAGGAGGTTAAACATGCTATTCTCAAAAACAAAACTTAGCATTTTGAAATATGAACTCTTTTTTTTCTTCAAACAATTAGCTTCACAGACCAAGTCTTTTTGGTTTAATCACTTCCCTACCAGACCTGGTTCGAACTACACCTGGTGTACGTGGGGCGTCGGTTTGAGTCTCTTTGTGGGATTGGCCCGAGATTGTGATTCTGATTGTCCCTTGAGGTCCACTGATGATGTACGATCAGGAAGTTGGGTGGACTGATGTCACTGTGCCATACATATATTAGTTTTTTGTAAATATCATATATATATATATATATATATATATATATATATATATATATAATATAAGCCAGCATATTATATATATAGGTATATATATATATATGGTCTAGTACGTGTGTGTGTGTAGTTGTGTGTGATTGCTGTGTTGTGTTGGTGGTGTCATCACGCTTCCTGGCACTTCCTGGCTTCCTAAACTTGTCCTGCAAAGGGCAGCAAAAGATTTTAAAAAGGAATGAAACATGAATCTTTTTTCCTCCTTTTTAAAAAGTTATCCATAGAAAAAGCGAAGACTTGTTTAAAAAGTGCCAAAGCTCTGTAAGTAAAGATAATGAGCTATATTGAAATGAATTTAGGGTTTGCATTAGTTCTGTTTGTTTCTGTATTGTACTTGACTTTTAGAAACTTCACAAATATAAAATATCGAGCCCTTAACTGCCTGTAGCAAGAAACGAACATCTTCTTAGTGGAAATACAGAAGCAGTTCTGTGAGCATACACATCAGCACTGTGGGAGGCTGCAGCAGTCTGCAGCATCATCAGCATTAGAAATGCGTTTAAACCCAAACTATCTGATGGCCCGTCTGTGGTAAACAGGTTGAACTGCGACAGTGGCCGTCGTGGAAGTGGGAGTATTCCTGGGCAGATTTAGTAATGTGCTAGAAACTTTGATGCAGGTGTACAGTGTAGATGAGAAGAGTTGCAAAGCTGTTGCAATCTGTCTTTGAGGACAACACTTCAAAAACAATCTTCTTACTTATCTTCCTCTGTAAGCCACCTTTTTTGTTTCAGCCAATCATGTTACAGACTTGAAGTCAGGTAATTTAATTACTTGCTAGAAAATCTTCCAGCTGAATCCTTTTGAACTTTCACCTGTTCCAACTTTTTTTTGAAATGTAGCAGAAATCAAATTTGAAATGAGCTCATTTAGTGGATGAAGTTGTATAATTTCTCAGTTTTAACATGTTGTGCTATTTATGTTCTGTTGTATAAGAAATGTTGTCTCGTGTGATTTTAGTCTTTTAGTTTTCATTTTGTTCCAATTTAAAGAAAGTCACAACTTTTATGGAGATTTGGTTCTAAATAGAAGAATGAAAGCGAGGCAGGAAGAAAAGGAGAGCCGTGAAAATGACGTGCACGTCCCCTTTACCTTGGTGAATTAAAGAGGGCAAAACAGGAAGGAAGTAATGGCAGAGTTACTGTACTGTAGTTGAAGTTATGATTAAAATTATAAAGTTATAAAGCTGTCACTGATTGGCCTGATAGGTCTGAGAGCTGAGTATGAAAGTGGGTTCAGAAGAGACAGGATCACAACAGACTTTCTTCTTTGTCTGTAGAAACAAAAGCTTAATGAGGAAAACTCTCTCTGCTGAGGTTTTCCACGTGGAAAGCGTTTTACATGCTGTGAAGAGTGGCAGTAGTCCAGTTGGGCTGAACAGCCATCACGTCTCAGATCCTGACACAGCAGGAAAGAATTTGCTGATATTCCTCAACTGATAAAAAGAACAACAAACCGAACCTATAAGATTCAAATTCACTGAACACGTCAAACCTCTGGGACCAGACAGGAAAATCCCTGTTTGTGGATATGTAGGTCTTTAAAATTGTCTAGAAGATAACACCAGGAGAAGGTTGGGGAAATGTCACTATGGCTTCGGAGGCAAGTCACAGCAAACTACTGGATAAACCTGAAGGGACTCGACAAAAGTAATTCAACAATAACAAAGATGTTTGATGATTTGTGGGAGCGAGTGAAGGAAGAATAAACCGTTTTGGTTGGAGAGACATCAGGATCAGAACATCTTTATCGTCACTGTAACAAGTACAAAGGAATTATGTGCAGTCGTCAAGTGAAAACGTTTAACTATGATTACAAAAGAATTATATTTAAAAAATGAGGACTAGCACAGTCATCCATTGCACTGTCCTCATCAGGCTGAACTGGAGGTGAGTGCAGTATATATGTATATATATATATGAGACTGTGCTTACATTTACGTGAATGATAATAATATTAATAATCATGATAATGAAAAACAAGCTGATGGTTTAAGACTTTAAGAAAAACTCAAACACTGATGACAGTCTGATTTCAGAGAGCTGGAACATGTTACACTTTTAGCTCATTGGTCCATCTGTTCTGCTGGATGTTCTGTGACCTCTGACCTCAGAGCATGATCTACTTTAAGGCCTCCTGTAGCTGTGTCACCACAAGGTGGCGGCAAAACCCTGAAGTTGTCAATAGAGCTCAATATGGAGTTTACAGTTTTTTCTGAATGCTTACAGTTTTTTACAGACGCTAGGACACATTTCACAATACTTAGGTCACTTTTGCAAAACTCTTCACACAATCCTCCTAACTGACCGTCAGCTTGGCAAAGCAGCTCATTTCACATTCAAAATGCACCACAACTACCAAAACACTTCATTCAGGTCTCAAATAAACTCATTCTTCCAGAACACTAGCAAAGGTTGACAGCCGACAAACACACTTTGTCACCCACAAAACAATGACCTAAAAAACACTAACAACATGTAGCATTACACAGTGTTTTCTTGTGTAAAACAAGGACACATCTCTGTTTATAATTTCAATATATGTTACTGGAATGAATCAGACATCATGCAGAATTCGTTAATATTTGTTTATGTATTTTTATTTTTTTGCACTAAGTAATCCCAAAATACAAGAATTTGTATACACACCATCCACTGATACACATACAATAGTAATGCTAATCTACTCGGTCTCCTCCATTTGGCCACAGGTTCTCATCCACATCACATCTTATGTCATCTAGGGCAACACACCTAGGAAAGAATCTTCTGGCTGCCAGAATTGAAGGAGTTGAAAAATTGAAGGAGTAACACCTGTGTAGATGTTCATCTACAATGAGAATCAGCTGTGGCTGGTTAAACTGCATTTTTAGATTTAAAATATGTTTCAATAAAATATTGCTGTTGCATTTTGCTGTCTTTTTAAGTTTTGCATTGTGTTATTGTTTTGGCCATAAGTTTAACAGTTTTGAAAACAGTATGTAAGCACATGCAAAATGTCCTGTACGTACAAAGATTTTTGGCAGTTGTTGTGTCTGAGTGAGAAGATAATTCATGAAATTTGAGAGATGTAGTCATTGAATGCATTTTGTGCCAAAACAATGATAACTGGTCCTCAGTTTAGCCCACATAGACTTCTGTTGTGCTCACTGTGTGAGGAGTTTTGCAAACGTGACCTAAGTATTGAGAAATGTGTCCTAGCGTCTGTAAAAAACTTAAACCCTAACTGTGATTCCTGTAGCACAATCTCTAAAACTATTCAGACTTATAGCAAAACCACTCACTGAGTTTGCAAAACTAAAAGCACAAAAACTGCTTTGCACTCAGTTTGCAATTTTGTAACACACACTTTGCAAAACTGTAGGCACAATTCACTGCACAACACTCAATTACCAAATTTCCAACACACTCCTAGCAAAAGTATACACATGTATGGCTCTC